GTAAGAAATTTATCAAATACCAGTTGTTATTGTGACAAAAAACTTGTCACTTCTAGCATAATATATGGCAACAAATTTTCTCACAAAAACCTAATTATATATGATAGTGACATTGTTACCAAATGTATTTGTGACCAATCTATGGTCACTCATTACAATTATTTTTGACAATTAACCATGTCATTATTGTGGTTTCCGTGACTGCAATTGCTCGTCACAAAAATGGTCTTTATTGACAAAAAATTCACGCTAGTATTAGTATTTGTTATGAACAAAATTGTCACAAATGGTTCATTCGTTTGTGACGATTTAGACTTGTCACAAATAAAATTTTAAATGTTGCGAAAACTTGTAGAAAAAGTTGCCTATGTTAGGGAAATGTGTTGGGAAAATTTTGAAATGTGTTACCTAAAGTGGTGTTGCGTAATAGGTAAGCATATGCAACCCTTTTTATTTTGGTTGCGCAAAATAAAAAATCAGTTGCCTATTCTTTTTGCAACCCCCACTATATGCAACCCTAGTAAAAGTGTTGCGTTATGTTGTTGCAACTCTTTTAAGACTTTACGCAACACATTTTTGGAGTTGCAAGAAGTCATTTTTCCCGTAGTGAACCTACTCAAAACCTACTCTTTTGTTCCTCTCTGATTCAGGCAGAAGCTTTTGCAATTCTCAATGCAGTTATCTTGGCGGCCCAGGATCCAGCCCCAACATGCATCAGGTCTGACTGTCAGAGGCTAACGATTGCGTTGAGACAGGATCCGAGCCTTTGGCCTTGGCAGTGCAGGGCAACCCTTGCCCCGTGTGGTTTCCATTCTTTGTGTTTCTCCTTGGATCTCGATCGAGTTTGTTCCCCGTCGACACAATTTGTTGACCGATTGGATCGCAAGGAACTCTTGTCTTGATCTTCTTCCTCCGGAATGGACTGTCATTGCTGACCTTGTAGCTCCATTACTGTAATTGTTTTTCTTCCCTCTTGTTTGGGTTTGGAATGAAATGAATGGATTTTGTTGTAAAAAAAAGACTTACGCCATAAACAAATGTGTGCATTTACACATTTAAATTATTACTTCTTTTTCCCAACCAACCATTAAATTATTACTTCTGTCTTGGGCTCCAACAAAATTCTGAGCTACCTAAATACAGGTCCCTGACCTCTTCTCTCCTTTTACCACGAACCATATATGAAGACAACTAATTATGAGTGTTGTACCTAATTAATGGCCAGCTCAGCTAGATATGCTTGGTATTTGGGACTGACTAAGAGATTCAATTGGACTTACACTCTCACACATTTCCTGAAACTGATTTTGTTGCAGAAACCAACATGTACGTACGCTTTGACTACTCACCTGGACTGTAGCTAGCTACTTCGCTGTACATTATGTACGTTTGCGGCTTGCAAGATCTCGAAAAATTATACGGAATCAAAAAAAATTCAACACGATCGGATAATCGAGCACAAAGTTACGTTTTTTTAAAGATTTGACGAAGGTCAGGCCTTCACCGCCTTTCTCTAGAGCGGTGAAGCACTGCTGATGCAATCACCGTTTTCCGCTAACGCGGTGATGCAATCACCGCTCTTGTTTAACGCGGTGATCCCTTCACCGCCTTAGTCTGACGCGGTGAAGGCCCAAACATGCGTAGATTGGGAAATATTTTCATAACGTGTGTATTTTGAGAATTTTTTTTAAAAACATGTGTACAATGGGAAATTTTCCCATTATGATGTGTATATAAATGTATTCATATCGGGTGATGGACAAACCAATTTTGGTCGCCATCGATCCCTCTCTCTCGCAGTGCTGTGTTGGCGCCTTGAGCTGATCACGTCCAACCCATGACCAACTTTAAAGCCAAGTTATGTCAAAGAAGAACCCAACAAACCAAAAACTACCTACATATATATATATATATATATATATATATATATATATATATATATATATATATATATATATATATATATATATGCCACAACATCAACAAAGAGGAAAGCAACAACTAGATAGTTGTCAAGAACAAGTTGATCCCAATAACTCAAGTTGTTGGAAGAGATTCAATCGTGGATCATATACCACAACACTAACACTAGTATCAGCCCGATAATTTGAGCCACACGTTTCAGGGTTGTTTCCTCAACTCCAGAAACCCAGGACCAGAAGTACGCAGTAGGATATATTCTTGTAATAATAAATAAAATAATTATGTCAGTTTTTTCCCCTGAAAAATTTGGAGTCCAAAATATATTCATTTGACACGTATGTGTGTGCCTATTGAATACGCCTCTATTTTCATCCCCAAAAAATTAAAGTAGTACGTTCATGTTCTGTGTTAATAATGGCGCGGGAACTCCTATCCTGATATGGAGCGGCTTCGGATCCTACTGATCAACAACACCGACGCTGAAGGTAACCTGATTCTTATTTAATACCTCCGTTGAGCAAGAGACTTGGTATTTTCAGCCATATAAGAGAAGAACGAAAAAGAAAAATACAAGAATTGATCAAATACTAGCTTTCATTTATTTAATGGGTGTTTGGAGATAAGAATCCTAGGCATATACAGTACTTTGTTTTCTTGGCTGACTAATTATTAGTTTGTTTTCACGGGTGATACTTTCAAACCCAACCAAGAAATGGATTACTTTTTGTCAAAAAGAGAAATGGATTACTTATGTTGGATACCTTCTTTGGTTCTGGCCGTTCGGTCATTCACATTGTAAGACTACATTTATAAATGCAAAAGGAGAACAATAAGAACTAAGAAGGCCCAAATAACTCAATGGCAAAATGGAATCTGAACATTTGGTTCTAATAACTAGTTGTGGAAAGAATATTAATTATGGATCTTATATAATTTTTTAACACGCCCGTCAAACAAAAACCAAATCAAGAGCTCACAATATTTTTGTGTTTAGATCATTGTTAATATTGGAAGTCGTAAAGATTTGAATACACGACTCATTGGTGGAGCCAACCCTAATTGGGTATGTCACGGGGCACACCTAATATTATTTTGGGGTGGGGGGATATTAACAGACAAATAAGTCTGAATATATGATTTGAATTCTAGACATTTATGCAATATAAGAAATTTATTTGGATACATTACTTAAGAATATAGGTAATGAATGTTTGAAATTATTTCGGGATACGAAAACGGTTCCCAGTTGTTTATATAAAAGAAAACTTGTATTTTATTTTTCTTTATGAATTACTGGAGTTTCATTTTATTTTATGAATTACTTGAGTATTAATTTTCTAAAATCTTTATTGATATACTTATATCGTATAGAAGGACACACATGTTTTGATCTTTTGTCTCCATTACTAAATCGATCACTTAGCCAAACGAGCTCTGCTACTATGTTATAACTCATTTAATTCGATAATGAGGATTATTTAATAAGAAAGGTTAATTGTTAATTTTATATCTCATTCTAACTAGTAAATGACAAGGGTCAGCCTTTTCTTATTTATAATTAATAAAGTCTGAATAGGTTTTGTCCACAAAAAAAAAAAGTTGGTGGTGTGGATGTTCGATCATTTTCTTACAAATATTTTCTAGTTAAATTTTTCTTACATATTTATTATCTAAGAGAATATATTAGAAATTGTATAGTAAATTTGTTTGAGCCTAATTGAGTGTAGGAGGGAGGCTCGGGAAAACGGGTAAAAGAGAGTGAGCAAACAAGAATCAATTATGGATCCAAGAACAAAGACAAGGGAGAAGTGAGGCTGAGAGAGAAGTTGATAGTTTAGAGATAGAGTCTCCAAAAATCGATCACCTCACCCACCGGAGTAAATGTCATATTTATAGGCTACATGGTGGTGGGTAAGTTACATGGTGATGTGACCACTGACATGTCAGGGGCTTAGGCCACATCCCTACCTAGGAAAGAAAATTTAACCCATGACTATACCTAGGACTATGATGGTGACCACTCTTTGAGGGATGCGGCGTCGCTTTCATGGTTTCCTGGTCAAGGTCAACATCTGACCCAAACGTCGTCGTTCGGTGTTCGGGCGCGGTTCTTGATCGTGTCAGTGCTGGCGCGCCTGACTCTTATGGGAGCGTCGTTGGGGTGTTTCCTTGGCGCGGCCAGATCCGAGTCATATACCCAACAAAATTATACCAAAAAATTAGTGGTAGCCTGGTAGGACATTTTGCAATAAAATCATGATTGAATGTTCAATTTTTTCGTATCGCTAAAATCATCTACAATTTGAAGTCCTGTATTTGATATTTCCTTCTCACTGATCAATACTGTAGGGCTTATAAAACATTGGATTGAACTTTTTTAATGGATTAAAACAATAATTTAGAGGCTCCTGGCCCCTGGGTGTGTCCACCGGAAGAGAGAGAGCCTTGTAACTAGCGACCGTTGTGAACTTTTAATTCTTACCGTTTGTTTGTCACTGCTTCGGTTGAGTGAACAGTAAAAAACACAACCACTTTTTTTTATTTTTTGGGCAATAAGATGTGTTTAGTTAAAGCGGTTAAAGTACGGATGACAAATGGCAGAGCCTAGTTACCTATTTCTACCCGGGTTAATTGCATGATTGGTCACTGAGATTATAAAAAGTGTTCATGTTTGGTCACTAGAAATATTTAAATCCAATCTTGGTCACTCAAATTAGTGAAATGGTTCAAGTTTGGTCACTCTCCGTTACCTTCCGTCAGTCTCCGTTAACACCGTCAATTATTTGCTGACGTGGCTAACAGACTCACCTAGTCACCTATTTTTAACAAAAATAAAATAAAATCCAATCCTGCCACGTCATTAAAGTTTGCCACATCATATCCATCGTTTTCCTTCCTCCTCCCTCGTTTTCCTTCCTTAAGATATTAAATGAGAATCCAGATGTTTGACCAGAACCGTTATCACGAAACCGATTAACTCTCCCTTTCCCCTTCTGGCCTTCTCCATTTCCCCACCTTATCATCTCTTCTCCCCAAATGAAACAACCGCCGCCACCGCCACCCATTTCCCCGCCGCAATGAACCACCGCCGGCCGCTTCACACCCTCCCCTTCCTCCTCCTCCACCTCCTCCTCTTCCAACCAACCTCCGCCGTCGACTTCGACTTCAACAACTTCAACTCCACCAACTCCTCCTCCAGCCTCTTCCTCTACGGATCCGCCGCCGTCGAATCTCAAGTCCTCACCCTCACCAACTCCAACACATTCACCATCGGCCGCGCGCTCTACCCGCAGAGAATCCGCACCAAAACCCCCAATTCCTCCTATGTCAACACCTTCTCCACCTCCTTCATCTTCGCCATGGCGCCGTACAGAGACGCCCTCCCGGGCCACGGATTGGTCTTTCTGTTCGTCCCCTTCGCCGGAATCGAGGGGGCTTCCTCTTCTCAGAACCTGGGCTTCCTCAATCGCACCATCGACAACGACCCTAACACTCGAATCTTCGGCGTCGAGTTCGACGTCTTCGCCAACCAGGAGTTTAGCGACATCAGCGACAATCATGTGGGGATCGATCTCAATTCGCTCACCTCCAGATTCGCCAACGAGGCCGGATACTAGCCGGATTCGAGACGCTGAGGCTGAACAGCGGCGAGAACTACCAGGTGAGGATCGACTACCATGTGTGGATTGTTAGGTGCAGACCAGAGCCAGGGTCGGAGATGGTGGTGCTCGTGGCGTTCATGTTTTTGTCGAAGGAAGGAGAAGAGGGGAAACCGACGGATTGGACAGGTCGGCGACAATAGCTTCTTCCGGTCGTCTTCTCCGGGCAAGGGATTTTGAGGATTGGTCAATTTTGGGTTTTAATTTGGGGTAGGTCAGATCATGGGTTAATGGGTTGGATCATATTGGTTAGGTTTTTATGATGTGGTAAGTTTTAATGACGTGGCAGGATTGGATTTTATTTTATTTTTGTCAAAAATAGGTGACTAGGTGAGTCTATTAGCCACGTCAGCAAATAATTGACGGTGTTAACGGAGACTGACGGAAGGTAACGGAGAGTGACCAAACTTGAACTATTTAACTAATTTGAGTGATCAAGATTGGATTTAAATATTTCTAGTGACCAAACATGAACGTTTTTTATAATTTCAATGACCAACCATGCCATTAACCCATTTCTACCCCATCTTCGATGGAATGAGTTACTGTGCAATAAGATGTTTAAATAGTTATATCTAATTAAAAAATTAAAATAACTTTCACACGTAATATATTTTATTAACATTATACCAATACTATTTTTTTAGTTTTAATGGAGGTGTGCCCGTAACCATTATTAAAGCTGTGTCAAAATTTCACCAAAAAAAAAAGCTGTGTCAAAATTTTTGAATTTTTTATCGATAAAACTTGAATTTCTCACAAAATTTTCAGGTTGACAAACTTTCCTTATACATTGGTACGCCCATAACTACTTTGTTTCACTCCCTGTTAATGTAAGAGAATTAAACCAACCACATCTAAATGGCTCATGCCTACTGGACCTAGATAGTTGTTTCGAGGACTATAGTGAGGTTAGCATCGTCATTTGGCACAGGGGCTATTTGGATAGAGTAAATTTTCTTACTATATAAATTATAATATTTTGATCAACACAATATTATCCAATACTTAAACTAAGTGCTAAGTATCTCCATACGAGCCAAACTATAACTTTTTTTTGAAGGGAAATGAACAAACTTGAAGTAACAAATATGAGCAGGAATCGAGATTGTAACAAAAAAGGGGGAAAATAGTTAAAAATCTCATCCAATATTTATAATAATTTCGCTAGGTGGTAATGTTGATATTAAGTTTTTGCTTCAATTATGCTATCATTCAGTATCCATTTATTCTTGTGTTAGACTAATCTATCACAACTAGTTGGATGTTCATATGCAATCCATCCAATTTGCATGAAAAATATGGACCTCCCATCCTTTAAAAGATTTAGCCATTTGCTTCAAAATGGTCAAGCTTAGACTAGTACTATAGTCTAAATAAGCATGCTCTAAGCAAGTGTATTTGTAACTTTACTTAGTATCTTCTCTCCCTAAGTAATCCAGCTATGCACAACTCAATTATTGTACAATTAAGAAGGATGGTGGGCTAGGAATAAGCTCTGACTTCCTATAATCGACCAAGTGACACCATGGACCATAAGTGGCCAATGTTTCCATTATTAAACAAGAACTTTTCAATAAATATAAAATGATAAATCACTCATGGGTAGAGGTATTTGCCCACAATTGGGCCCTCTACATTGATAATGACTCCCCAAATAATTATAAGGAATCCAATATACACACATACATGTCATAATAATAGATGAACATAAATAATCTATTATAATTAATCATATATTTAAATTTGGTGGGACATTAATGAGTAGGTTGAAATTACCTAATTGATGAAACTTATTGATCTCCAAAGATTTTCTAAATAAAGCCTAGCTACCCAAAGATTTCTCTTTGTTTTCTTCAGTGGAGCATCAAGTTGGCAAAGGATAATTAGGTGGGAGCAAAAGATGATTTAAGCTTAAGATGGGAGAAAATGACAAATTTAGTGCATTAACTTCTAACCATTAACAACTAATAAATGGGGCAGATTACCCAACCGTGATAGCAAAGCAAGAATGTCTATCCAGGAAAAAAAAAAGAGGAGTTCAGAGAAGATTTTGATTTCATAGACTCTTTTTATATGTTTTATTTTAACTCTAATCCACAGGAATTATTGTCATAAAAAAACTTAGTTAGCTGTCTTAGATTTCATTGACTAATTTACTCACTGTTTTGCATTTTTCAATTTAGATAATTCATGGGAGGAAATCCATGTTCTCTGCTTTTTTATTTTTATTTGCATTAAATTGATCAAATGGTTACATTTAATATCATGGTATTCTTCCCCCAGATGCACCCCAAAATGTTTTTTTTTTTTACTCTCTGGAGAACAGCTGGGATACATGTGAGAAATATCCAACACTGAAAGCTACATTACTCATATTAAGCAGATAAAAATCAATCTTACATGTTAAAATCTGAATTCATTAAGGGTTGCAAGATTAATCTAGGAGGATGAAACTGAACCATTATTTATGGTTAAGCTAGTGAGGAGTTTTTTTACTAATCTCAAATTGATTTACGTCTTGCGAGTTAACATTGAGTATGTTGTTTTTCTAAATAGAGTTTCAACTGATCTTTGAAATATTTAACAGGTGGATTGTCCATACTTCATACACCCAAGTCACATTTGTAACGAACATTAGCTAGATGCTCATATTCAATTGAAAAGTCCATCTCACTCATATTTTCCGATACAGTAATTTTATCACAGAATATCCCGCACATTAAAATTATGACGGACTCTCTAACCTATATTATATAAAATTTATGAGCTTACTAAAACCGATCTAGTTGGTATTACAATTTAGATTTTCTTGAAAATTTCAATAGATTGAGGATAAAAGATTTATAGATGGGTTGCTGTAGGGTTGTTTGCTGGTTACTGTTCCCCCTCACTCTAAGCATCCACCGCCTCTCCAACAACAACTACATCTCTACTCTGCTAAACTGACAAAAGATAACTGAAAAAGAACAAAAATACAAATGTACGTAACAAAGTAAAAGAAACCGAAGCTTCTTTCTCAAACTTTTGGAATTATTTAATCACCAATAACCAGTAACCAAAAATAAAATAAATCGATCAAATCCCGTGTAACAATTGTTAAAAAAACACCAAAAATGAAAAAAAGATTAATATTATTATTCGTCATCACTTTCAAAAAGGGTGTTACATTACAAGGGGCTGAAAGGGAGAGAGAGAAAGCAGAATTATAGACAGAGGAAGAAGGAGAAGCAGAGCACAATCCAACAGCGCAGTAGATCTGCTCTGCCGTCGTCCCCCTTCTCCTCCCATTTCCCTCGTCTTCTCCATTCAGCTTTCTTCTTTTCTATTTGGTAACTCTCACTTGGGTTTGTCGACTCTGCCACCGGCTTCCGCACAAATTTTTATTACCAATATAATTCATTTTATGACCGTTTCCACTCCACCAGCAGAGAGACTGTTTCCACTCTGTTTTTTTTGTTTCTTCGCATTTGGAGCGGGGGAGAGTTTTCGGGTCCGTTTTTTCTTTTCTCACTCATTTGCCATTAGGGTATAGGGATGGTGAATTCATCGGCGAGACTGTGATTGAGTTGGTGGTGGAGCTCCGGTGACTGTCGGCCACTGGACTTCACCGGCGGTGGAGGGGTTTAGAGGAAAAAACACAATGTTCCGGCCAGTGAGGTGGCGGAGTGACAAGAACAAGATCAAAGTGGTCTTCAAGTTTCAATTCCATGCAACTCAGGTTCCTTTCCTTCTTTCTTCTCCTCGTTTTAACGGCAAAGTTCAGAGCTTTTTCTGGTTTCTGATCATGGGTGGTGATGGGTTTAATGTGGGTTTCCCCTTTCCACTCTCATTTGTCGTGTTTGGATGCTGGGAAAGCAGAATGGTGGTGAATTTTCCAGCATTTCCCTAATTTCTCAATTTTAAGAATTTTCTCAATGCCTTTGTGACATGGGTTGAGAGCAGAGCTCATTCATTACATTAAATACAAAATGCTCGACTTCTCTCCATTTTCAATTTTCTGGCTGAGTGAGGGAAAATTTGCAGTACAAGTTGAAGAATAATGACACGCTTCCTGTTTGATCTATGGAATTTTCAGGTGTCACAGCTGAATGTGGACTCGTTAGTGGTTTCTGTGGTTCCCGGAGATGTTGGGAAGCCCACTGGAAGATCAGAGAAGGCTCCAATCAAGGATGGAAGCTGCCGGTGGGAATATCCAGTTTATGAAACTGTCAAGTTCAGCCACGATTCCAAAACTGGGAAGATCAATGAGAGGATGTATCACTTCATTGTGTCAACGGTAAGAAATATTGAGCTAAATTTTGTCTTGAGATCATGCACTGTTGCTTTCTAGTTACTTTCCCTTTGCAGTTTGGTGACATTGCATGTCCATTGCAGGGTTCAGCTAAGAGTAGTGTAGTTGGTGAAGCTTCGGTCGATTTGGCCGCGTATGCAGAGGTAGTCAAAGCTTCTAATGTCTCACTTCCTCTCAAGAACTCAAAGGCCAATGGTGTTCTTCATGTGAGTAATAACCATTAAGTCATTCTCTTCCACTCTATGTTTATTTCTAGTTGAGGAAATTGGATTAACTGGTGTCTTCTGCAATTGGGTTTTGGATAGGTTTCAATTCAGAAACTACAAGCAAATATAGATCAAAGGTAAATGAGTGGTGGGATAAGTTATTGTGAACTAAAGTACTCATCTTTTGGTCTTTGCTTGGATGAAATCTTAGTTTTTGGGTGTTTTACAGGGAAGAAGAGGAAACTGAAGCTGCAATCATAAAGCCGAGAAATAAGACCTTGAATACTCTCTTCAACAATGGCGAGAGTGACGAAATCATCAAGAACTTCCCTAATGCGGTAAGTGTTAGATGTGGCATCCTTGACAAGGATAGTATTAAAAAAGAAGGTTGCTTCACATTTACATTTTTTGTATTTATCACCTTGGAGATTCTTACCAGCAGATCTGTGTGCATCCTTTGGATTTCAGGACGCATCGAATGCTACAAATAGCAATGCTGAATATAACAAGATCGCCACCGCCACAAGTGGATCTTCTGACCTTACATTATCAAGCCCCGAGGCTAGCTCAGAGCTTAACACGCCACGAGAGGACCCTGCAAGCTTGCTAGCATCGAAAACTCAAACTTCAGCCCCTCAGCAGACAGAATATGAATGGTCTGTGGATTCTGATCATGCCTTAAGCATTGAGAGCTCGACGAATAGCTCTCATGGTGGAGACAAGTCTCAACTAGTTTCAGATGGCGAGGTCGAGAAGCTCAAGGCTGAACTTCTCAGCATGACCAGACAGCTTGATCTCTCAGAACTCGAACTGCAGACGCTACGCAAGCAGGTTGTGAAAGAAAGCAAGAGAGGCCATGATCTCTTGAGAGATCTCGCAGGAGTGCAAGCAGAATGCAAGAAACTGAAAGCCTTCCAGAAAGGCAGGGAGGAAGCAACAAAAACCAGAAATAAGTCGATATCCGAAGGTGGTGGTGGTGGTGGGGATCCATGGTTGCTCATTGAAGAGATCAGACAAGAACTTTATTATGAGAAGGATCGCAACACCAACCTTCAGTTACAACTACAGAAGACTCAAGAGTCGAATGCAGAACTGTTACTTGCCGTGAGGGAGCTCGAGGAAATGTTGGAGCAGAAGGGCACCACCCAGTCAACTGATGATGAGCAGAAGGCTTTGGAAGAGCTCGTGAAGGAGCATGGCGGTACGAGGGATACTTATGTGCTGGAGCAAAGGATTGTGGATCTCAGTAGCGAAATCGAGATCTACAAGAGAGATAAGGATGAGTTAGAGATGCAAATGGAGCAGATTGCTCTTGATTATGAGATATTGAAGCAGGAGAATCATGAACTTTCATATAGGGTGGAGCAAAGCCAGCTGCAGGAGCAGCTGAAAATGCAGTATGAATGTTCACCACAGACTGACAACACACTGGAATCACAGATCGAGAGGCTGGAAGACGAGCTTAAGGAGCAAGGAATTGAGTATTCAATTTCCTTGGCCACTATAAAAGAACTTCAGAACCATATCAAGAGCGTAGAGGCAGAATTGAGTCTGCAACAGAAGGCTAACTCCGGTTATCTGGCCAACATAGATGAACTCCAAAACCATATCAAGAGCACGGAGGAGCAAATGAAGCTGCAAGAGCAAAGTGCAGCTGCCAGCACAAGGGAACTTGAAGATCAAGTCGAGAGGTTGGAGAATGAACACTCTAGTTCTTTGACCACCATAAATGAACTTCAAAACCAGATCAAGAGCCTGGAGGAAGAAATGAAGCTGCAAGAGCAAAGTACAGCTGACAGCACAAGGGAACTTGAAGATCACTTCCAGAGGTTGGAGAATGAACACTCTAGTTCTTTGGCCACCATAAGTGAACTTCAAAACCAGATCAAGAGCTTGGAGGAAGAAGTGAAGCTGCAAGAGCAAAGTACAGTTGCCAACACAAGGGAACTCGAAGATCACTTCGAGAGGTTGGAGAATGAACACTCTAGTTCTTTGGCCACCATAAATGAACTTCAAAACCACATCAAGGGCTTGGAGGAAGAAATGAAGCTGCAAGAAGAAAATATAGCTGCTAGCAGAAAGGAGCTCAAAGCCCAAATCGAGAGTTTGGAGAATGAACGTTCTAGTTCTTTGGCCACCATAGATGAGCTTAAAATCCATATCAAGAGCTTGGAGGAAGAACTAAAGCAGCAAGAGGAACTCATGCAGCAGCATGAATCATCAAAACAACTAGAAGCTCAAATCAAGAGGTTGCAGAATGAACTAAAGAAGCAACAGAAGCTGAATTCTGGTTCTTTGGTTACCATAAAGGAATTGGAAGCCCATATTAGTAGGATGGAGGAAGAATTGGAGAGGCGAGTTCAAGGTTTTGAAGCTGATATAGCGAAGGTGACACGTGAAAGAGTTGACCAAGAGCAAAGAGCCATTCAAGCAGAGGAAGCCTTACGGTTGACTCGATGGAAGAACTCTAACACAGCTGAGAAGCTACAAGAGGAGTTCAGAAGGCTGTCTGTGCAAATGGCCTCAACATTTGAGGCCAATGAGAAGGTGGCTATGAAAGCAATGGCTGAAGCTAATGACGTTCGCTTCCACAAGAGTCAGCTAGAAGACATGCTTCACAAAGCAAATTCAGAACTTCAGTCTGTTAAGGATGATTATGAGGAGAAATTGAAAGAGCTTTCCAAGCAATTAAGTTTGAAAAGCGGTCAGATAGAGAAGTTGCTGATGGAAATTGATGAAAAGTCGAAGCATGAAGAACAACTTGGTGGAAGTTTCATTCAGAAAGTTCAGAAGCTGCAAGCTGAGATTGAAAAGCTTGTAAAAGAAAATAATCTCCTCTCCGTACAAGTGGAGGAAATGAAGACGTCGATCAAGACCCATGAAGGATTGGTGCAGAAGGGAAATATAGAGAGGAATGAATTACTGAATACAATTGCTTCATTGAAGAAAGAAGCAGATAAATCAAAAGAGGACCTAACTACATTGAGATCTCTAGAGGATGAAAAGGAGAAGGAACTTGGTCTCCTAAAAGCAGAAGTTGACACGCTAAAATGCAATTGTGATGAGTTGAAGCATTCTCTCATTGAAGATGAGCCGGAGAAGGAAAAACTCAGAAAGCAGTTATGCCAACTGAAAGGCGACCTCAAGAAGAAAGATGAAGTCTTGATCAACACCGAAAAGAAGCTCAAGGAAAGCAACAAGCGTACATCAGTTGTCCCTAGAACCAACAAGTCTACTCCAGTTTCTCATGGCACCAAGGAGGTCTCAAATCTCAGGGAGAAAATTAAATTGCTTGAGGTATAAGTCTATTATTTGCCGGTTGATTTTCGGAATCTTATTAATTTATCTTCGATGGAGTTGGAAACATAGATTGATTTATTTCTGGATTTGTCCAAACAGTTGCATATAAAGTCAAAGGAAACTGAGCTGGAGACATCTGCAAGTTCATTTTTACAGAAGGAAAGAGACCTTATGGACAAGATTGAAGAGTTGGAGAAAAGGCAAGATGAACTTAACCAGTGCAGTGCAAGTTTAACTTGTAACCCTCCCCACAAGGTTAGATCCTCTTGAGCTAATGACTAATGTATAAATAAACCGTCATCTTAGTGCTGTGATTTTGTTCAATTTGGTTCCTGACCGACCAATGTATATGCAATTTCCAGTTGAATGGCGATGCAACTGATGAGGATCTCGAAAATGTGGCATCTGTACCGAAAGACAAGAGGTATGATTTCTGAAATCCAGAAGTCTGTTATATATATTATGATTCCAACGTATCAAAGTAATCTGAACTCTTGGCATTCCTATGCTCCAGAACCAATGATGAAGCTGAATGCGAGAACGAATCAAAACCCTTCACCATGGATGATAAGTTGGTAAGGGAGCTGCTATCGATGAAGGAGAAGAACGAAGAAATGGAATGCGAGCTGAAAGAGATGCAGGAGAGGTATTCAGAAATAAGTCTCAAGTTTGCAGAAGTAGAAGGTGAGAGGCAAAAGCTCGTGATGACAGTAAGAAGCTTGAAAAATGCTAGAAAAGAGCTCATCAAACAATCATAATAAAAGAATGAAGGGGTTAAGGTTTCTTTCTATACAAGTAATATGGTAACCTATGAACAAGTGTATAGTTTTTGGGGGGAAAAGCTAGTAACTGGATTTCATTTGTTCAAACAGAAAATCTAGAGAGGATTTGACTGTGCTGCTACAGAAGAGTGAATAATTTTTGTACAAAGTTTCTATAGCCAGGGTGAAAAAAAAAGGGTTATCTAGTCTATTAGTTTATTTAATTTTTTACTTTGTAGGTATAAGGATGAAAATGATGTAGTGTTCTAGATTTATGTTCTTTCCGTGTAATATTTTTAACTTTTTTCATGGAGTCTTGTGATATGTAAGGTGAATGTTTGCAGCTTCTATATATAAATATACATAATCTTTCCATTATTTGCCTCTGTCAGTTGTGTAGGACATTAGGACGTTAATTTCTGCCTGATTGTAAATTGTGCCCCAAGTCGCAATAGGCAGGTGGATATCTCAATATTTATAATATATTTGTGTGATTATGGGACGGATCTTTTTACTGTGATTATAAAAAAAAAATGTAACTTCTTGATTTTTACATAAAAAATAGGGTTAATACCTTATTTTGGCCCGAACTATGACCATATAATCAACTTTGGCCCGTGGTTTCAGAAATTAACATTCTGGCCTCAACTATGCAGCATATAGACTCAATTGGCCCGACACATAGTTTGACCGTCAATTTGGACGGTCAACTCCGTTGACCGTTAGTCAACATACCATGTCATTGCCTAGTCAGCCTAAAAATTATTAAAAAAATTTAAATTCAAATTATTTTCCTAATTTCTATTATTTATCATTTTACAATTAACCAAATATAAAATAATTTTTTTGTGATATTTGAAAATGATAAATTTTATAAATTAACCAAAAATTATCAAATTAAATTTTATAAATTTAAAATTTATGATATAAATTATATTTTGGTGGGAAGTTTTAAAAATATAGAATAATTTGATAATTTTTGGTTAATTTATAAAATTTATCATTTTTCAAATTATCCAAAAAATAAATAATCAAATTTATTTTATGTTTTTTATAATTTATTTTTGGTTAATTTAATAATAAATTAGAAAAATAATTTGAAAGTTGCATTTTTTTAATGATTTTTAGGCTGACTAGGCAATGACATGGCGTGTTGACTAACGGTCAACGGAGTTGACCATCCAAATTGACGGTCAAACTATGTGTCGGGCCAATTGAGTCTATATGCTGCATAGTTAAGGCCAGGATGTTAATTTCTGAAACCACTGGTCAAAGTTGATTATATGGTCATAGTTCGGGCCAAAATAAGGTATTAACCCTAAAAAATACTAAGTGAAAAGATGAGAAGGTGTACAGGACATCTTGATTTTTACATAAATTACTTGCAGGACAGTAATATCAGTACGAAGTGGGAATGGATCAGGTCAGTAACCTTATGGTGAGTAATTAATAACTATGAGTAACCCGTCCACATCAGCATGACATCAGCATCCTCTCTCTCCTGTAAAGTCTTTAATTTTTCCCTCCTTAATCTTTGACGGACGATTTCTCACTCATTTTAAGTCAAAATTTAATTTTTTTGCACAGTTAGATAAGATTAATTGTGCTCTTCAAAATGATATCCACTTTGGTATATTTTTTGAACAAAAAAAATTGAGCCATTTTATACTAGTCTATATCATATGGTATTGACTGGTATTGAAATAAAAGCATACCTATGGTTTGAAAAGCGTACCATGGTGGTACGACACAAACCAAAACTGTAGGATGGTTGAATACATGGTAGTAGAAGTATATTAATTGTCATTTACGACTTTTAAAATTGTCTACCATAAGATACCATAAGATACCACCCCGTACCAGGGTGGTATTGTGTGGTATTTTTTTGTCTTGTAATTTGTTCACTCAGAAATTTGAAGATCCAATAGATCATGATGAACTCGTCTCTGCTATGCAAACGTTTTCAAAAACGAAGAAGATACCATATGGTATGCAGTTGGTACTGAGAGGCCAGAATTTTTTTTTCCTAAAAAAATTTTGAAAATTGATATCATTTTGTAGAGCACGATGAACTCGTTCAATCTATGCAAAAAAAAAAAACCCGAGTTAAAATGAAAAAGATATGAGTCAATTAAGAAAGCTAGTGAAAATAAAAATGATCTTTAATTCTCCATCCTTAGATCTGATTTTTCTAAATGAAGATTCCAAATTTGGTTATTGATGGGTGCATACCCTGCGGTACGAAGTGGATCGGAATTCGGAACATGTTGAGTTGCACAGGACATATAATAATCATGCAAAACAAAAGCGACATTTGGCAAGCATAGATAGGACTGCTAAGTCCCGTGTTTGGGCCTTTGTGGAGGCTTTGAAGAATTAAGTTATCAAGTTTTTGTATATTTGGGCCTCCTTATAGGAAAATTGGTAAGTTCGGGCCGCCGTGTAGGATGAGGAATTGAGGAAGGTGGGCCAGATGTCGGTTTTATCTTTGGGCCGGGGTAATTGGAAGGCCATACATCCTAGAGGATTAACGGGTTGAATGTTGAATGTTGGATTTCAGAATTCAGACTTTCAGTGATGCAATATTGAGCACTAAATCGAGGAGAAAATAGGAGAGGTTGGAACAAGAGAGGATTTGTTTGGTAATAAATAAACATAAATCGTTTTTTTTTTTTTTTTGAGGATTGTTAAATGTAGTTCAAATATATTGTTTCTAAAGAATTTAATGATTTAAATTCTCAAAATTATTGATTTTTTTTTGCGTGAAGCAGGAGGCCGAAGTCAAGAAGATTACAGGGGGTGGAAGAGGGGGAGAAAGAGCTGGAGACAACCCTCCGCTCAAAACTAGTACCCATCCTATCATCTCACAGAATCGAAGTTAAACCTGTTGGCGGGTTCGCAAGCTCATACATATCGAAGGGATAGACGAGATTCTGCTTCGAGAGTTAGTTTGCAGCTCTATTTCCTTCTCTTTACGTATGGGTGAAGCGGACCAGCCAATCTTGTCTTACCTGACATTGAATCGCCGCTAGCAGCGTTGGAAACAAGATCTTGTCTATCATTGACGAGTTGAATCACCAGTTGGGATTTGGGAATCCGATTGCACTATAATGGCACGATGGCCCTGCTTCCAAGCAAACTCAAGACCATAAAACATGGCCCAAATCTCCGCCAAGGTAGCTGACGCCGAACCAATGTTTGATAAAATAGTTTAAAAAGTCTATTATTTGGTAACAATAATAATTGACATTTAATAAAAATAGATGTAAATATCATTAAAAAAGATACATAATCAGGGGTGTGAGCATTGTTTAAAAATCCAAAGATCAGAGGCAAATAAATTCTTTTGTTCGTTTGCTTACTTGTTGTTCATGTTCGTCTTGTAAGTACTTTCAAAGGACCTCCGAATCATATAAAAAATGTTTCATTTTTTCAACATTAGATAACTATAAATGTTTCATTTGAAATAGAATTGAAACTTTAACAAAATGGCATGTTAGATCATTTATCAGAATACCAACGACAAGAAAACTGTTTGGAAATAAAAAGTATGAAAACTCTGCTAAAGGCAGAGATTATACAGTGAGATTCCATTGATGAGCACCATAACCACATTACACATCCTCGATCAGTGATTCGTTAGCCATGCATCCACTAACAGCAAACTAAAATAATTCTGTAGCAGCCAGCAGCACTCTTTCATCTGCCTCACCCTACACTGGATAGTGAAGAAGGGAGGAGTTCGAAAGGACCATTCTGTCTGTTGGAAAATGTCGTAAAAATAAGCCGACCATTGGACCCATTTTGGTGCTTTTGGCAACCTTTTATTATAGTCACAAAAGGTCCTTTCTCTGTGGTTTACAAAGTTTGTAAGATGCATGAAATCGTAACATACAGGCGATCCTATTGGGAAAACTATTTGTCGGAGTTTAAGTATGTAGGCGATTTCGGCAGTATGAAATTATTGTACCACGATTTCGGTATAGAATATCATGTCGGAGGATTTTTCAATACAATCACCAATGCGATTTTACAATCCTTCATGTTGAGACAAACCTTCGATTATAGTTGGACTAGTAATTGTAGTGGTTTGTTTGTGCCTAACTTTTGATAAAGGTTTATAAAAAATGGAAAGAAAAGAAAACAAGTCAGTTTTTCAAGAATAAAAAGAACACAGGTATATATGATGCACATTATAGCTTACATTTATCTCTGCAAAGGTCGATCAGTTTCAATTAAAACAAAATAACAAAAAAAAAATCAAAATTGTGTTTTATGTGACAATAAATGTCGACCAAATCATCATACCGTCAACATTGTTGGCGTGAAGGTCGAAGGCACCGATGTGTAGGTCGATTGTTTATGATGAATTGAAGGAGTCCGACGGTCCATATTCATTGAGCTAAGTCAAAGTATGAGTTACTTGTAGTAAACTCCAAAAAATATTTGGTTAAAAGTGAGCCGAACAAATATAAACATATATTTAATTCACGATAAATGAAAAACAAAAATGCGATGCAAATTACAAAATACGTCCATCCCAAGCAAAAAAAACCTGGTCAAGAGTTAGATCATATGACATATGCTAGACCTAATATCCTTTTTATACAAAAAAATGGTCAATCGATTTTTCTCAACATCTATGTTCTCTTGCATAGACCCTTTTTATCTAAAAAAAAACATAGTCCATATATCATCCATTGTTGACATTATAAGACAGATGTTAATAACACTAAGACGCGCGCTTAAGGGTGATGGGCAGCACGTCTCTTCTTGATGTTCTGTTTGATCACCATTTTAATTTTGAAAACTTTCTAATTACGCTAACAGAGGTGGCGCAAAGACCGACATTACCACTTAATCATTGATAAATGATAATCAAGTCAGCTCATCCTGAGGTTCAAAAACAACAACCACAATCTTATTATTATTTTATTATGCATACTTATCTTGAAAACATATTGAATCAAAATTAACTGAATTGCTCCCCCCACGTACATTGTTGTTTCTAGCTCTTAATTACTTGAATTTGTTCGAGAAATGGATATGATTTAGAAATTGAAGCCGATTCGTTAACCTTCATGGTGTGTTAATCGAGGCCGGTTTAATTAGATGAAGATCCACTGTGAGCCACTTAATATATATAATCAAGAAAGAAAGAAAGAAGAAGAAGAAAAAACAAAGTCCATCAGTTTCAAGTTGTATTTATTTACTGTCTGGTAGTCATAATTTTAATTTTCGTGGATCTGAAATCACTTCTGGGATAATCCGGCACAGTAATCGGTCTCATGCATGTACATATATTTTATTTTGTACATGCACGTATCTGTAAAAAAACACAGAGTGAATATTCTCTGACAATGATCCAATAAAATTAATCTGTAATTTGGTTTTAGATCCGTCATTTAATTGTTACCAAAATCGATCTTGGACAGGTCACAATTAGAGGTAGGCAGTTCCTTTCAGATCAATTGTCAGAAGATACGATTATGGTTTTCGAGTTGTACAGATCGGCTAATTGCATTGCATATTAATTCTATATATATACCCTCTATATTTTATTCAATTCTATTTTGGAAATAATTGATTTCCCTCTCTTTGTCTTTGATCTTCTTCCTCTTATTTGTTGAAATATTAATTATTTCTCCCCAATATTCTTGTTTATTAGAACAAAAATGTTGACCACCCTCTACTTATTTTTGGGGAAGACCCTATACTTGACCGAAGAGAATTGTTACTTGCATATCCCATCATAATTATTTGCATATAAGTGAAATGCTAATAAAGAAAATATTACGATAGCACCCCTGTATAATTAATAACCAGCCTATAGAACAATGAGTTACGAAATAAAAATATTTAGAATTTAACTAATTGCATAGTATTACATATCCTTTAACAAGAGAATAATCAAACAAGATGCACGTTGTTGCTTATAAATTCTCCTAAACATGGATAAAATAGCTAAATTACTTCTACTCCTAAGATACGAAAGATAAAAGGTACGATAAACTAAATTTTCTTCGTCTCCGATAATAATAACTGAACCACAAAGTACATATTTATAGCAAAGGCATAAACCCCAAGACTAATCCTTAAAGGACTTGGTAACTTACTCGTAAAGAAACTACCTTAATAATGAATAAAATCCCTAAACAATGAGTAAACTCACTCAATTTATTAATAACTTGACAATGATGATGATAATGATAATGATAATGATAATAATAATGATAAATTTATATGCAACACACTCTTGTACGTATCTCGATAAAAGTGGTACCTCGCGTGATTAAGGTATTCTTATACTCATCGAAGAAAAACTTTTTGATTCACTCTTACAGTAAAATCTCTCTCAACAATTCAATAGAAAGTCTGATTCTTTTCAATCTAACACGAAAAGAAAAATGTTACTACCTTCGTACAAATTGGCGAATTGATCTTTTCCGTAGGCTCCCAAATTATTTCTAGAAAAAGTATAGTCACCAGAACTATACACAAATCAAAAGAAGAACACATGTACGTACCAAGCTACAACTCAATTTTCTTCTATTAATTTCTTCACTTTGCCTACCTGTTCTTTCCCCCTTTCCATCTTACAACTACAATGGAACCCATCTTCTTCCTCTATCCAATTCCAGATCGGAAAATGGGCCTCACCAAAAAAAAAAAAACCCGTTTCAGCCTCCCCCCCTCTCTCTCTCTCTCTCCACATTATATTCCATCCAAAAAGGAAAAGAAGGAAAAAAAAAAACCTAGCAAAAAAAAAAAAACGAACATCATCACAATCTACGGCTCATCAAGCCATAGACGGTGGCCAGAGCCATAACAAGCGACCGGTCAACTCCCGGCTGAACCACCAACGTCATCACGTCGTTCCCCAACAACACTCCGTTCCCCTCCGTCAACATCGACTGCTGCTTCCTCTTCGCCTCCGCCACCACTCCGCCGCTAACCACGTCCGTTATCTTAAACGCCGTCACCTTCCCGCCACACGACGCTTCCAACCTATACCGGCCCTCGCAACACAAATCCGTCGTCGCGAATAATCTCTTCCTCGCGACAGCAAACGACGCCGTCTCCTCGTCGCATCGGTAGCCCTTCCACTTCCTCGACAAAAACGGGCACAAGAAGGAAGCCGTCTTGAGTATCGTGAAGACGAGATTGCCCCTGAGGTCCATGAGGCAGACCTCCCGCCCGCCCTTCTTCTGGTAGTTGTCGACCCGGTACACGACGGCGCCGTTTTGGTCGTAGATGGTGCATCCGTTGCCGTTCATCACCAGCGACTTCATCCACATGGTGAACGTCTCCGTCGTCGATGTAACCCCACATGACGGCGACGTTGAGGCGTCGACGGCGGCGGAGGAGGAGGTCGAGGAGAAGATGGGATGGATTTTGCCCATTATTTTAGGGTTTATCGTATTGGTGGTGTGAAGACTGAAGAAAGGAAGAGAAGGAAGGGTTATATATAAATTAGGGGGAAAGGGAGGGAATCTTACGTGTGGAGTGCTTTGGTTTGGTAGGGTAACGCCATTGAATATTAATACACTTCATGTTTTTGGCATGTATTTATGGCGACTTCCCCTAAGGTATATATTGGGTGTGTACATGTGACTGTGTATTAATTGAGTGAATGAATATTTATGGTTTTGCATACGTGGGTTCATGCGGGGACTTGTGATTTCTTAAATATATCCTTTACTAGGGCGGGGGGCGCCTTTCATGTTCAGTTAATTGGCCTTTTGGGAAGTCAGTCACCGCCGAATATGATGTGTACATGTACATTATTGAGATGTATAATGAAGACTGGATATGTGTGTAATGCAAGGTTGTCAACCCGCGGGTTGACCCGGATCCGATCGAGCTAGTGGGTCAAGGGTTAATGGGTCAACCGTTTTAGTCCGGTTTGGCCCGGAAATATAGGAAGAGTCATTATATTGCACTTATCCTCATAAATTATATAAAATCTTATCCAACATATGAGTTATAACATATAATATTACACCAAAATAACATATCGTACTTAGATCCAACATATAGTGAAAATTCACACACACTTATATAACATAAATATTCAAATGTTCAACTTATATAGTATTCCAAAGATTGAGTTAGGCGAAAAGAAAAATTGGAAAATAGGCGCATTTCGCAAACTAAAGAAAAAAAATGACACAATTTGACCTCCAACCTGGTACCTAATAGCGGTCGGCCCGGCGGGTGCGTGCGGCCCATTTTTCTCACCGGGTCAGGATCAAATTGGGTCGACCCGCGGGTTGACAACCTTGGTGTAATGGTATAGTTGGTACTACTCAACATCTTCATGTGCTTTTTGTGGACTTCAAATAATATATGCAGCTTTTCGTTAAGGGGAAGAGAACGTTGGCAGTTGTTTTTGTCTACTCAATCCGAATATGGTCGGATCGATTAACTTAGCAGAGGTTAGACGATGGAATTAGATCATGGTGATGATGAAAGAAATTAGAGTCGGATGATGAATTGTATAATTATCTGAAGAAATATGTATGTTCAAAACAAATCTCTGAGTGTGGTGTTCATCGCGAGATGAGTCAAAAAAATTGGATTTTAAGAAACCTCTAGCCCGTTCATACGCCTACCACGCTCGTATTGTGCGTTTCGGGGCATCTAATGTTTGCTTAGATGTCATGATGCGTTTGCTGGGGTGCAACTACAATTGACCTAGGTCGCAGTCTTGTATGGACGTTTGATCCGATCCTTGGGCAGTTCATAATGGGTTCGCGAGCATGTACCCTCTTAGAGTCGAGTTATATATTGAGTCAAGGCATCCTAAAGCTCTCTCCATAGAATGTGATGGGTGAATGCACTCTCATGTAAGTTTTTTTCTCCATAGAGAGATACTGACATATTGATTACCATTCCTAACTGGAATCATTTGGAAATGTTCAATCATTAATCTTGTTAAACTCATTAACCATCGTATAAAAGATTTAAATGGTATCATATATATAAATAATGATTTTGGAGTTGAGAAACGGTACGCCGACGGAGGAAATGGGCATCATGTGGGTTTGTGCATTATAGTACTGCCGTCTGTAAAAGGATATGTGACGCAGCAATGGAAGAGGTCACTTATTATTAGGTATGAAGTTCCTATTGGTAGTAGTAAATAGTTTGGATTGGAACTTGGAACTTGGTTGGAAGTGGTGATCGAAGCCCATTTGCATAATGTTAATTACATACTTTTTGGCAGTATTTGGATTGTTAATATTATCTAGGGAGTGGTCAGTGGCACTGATTTGTGGATGACATAAGGAACAGTTAGGAATAGTCGGCCTTTTTCGGCTACTTTGCCAAATTAAGTATATCACAATCACAGGCTAAGCTGACTGACTGCATTCGTGATGTACTTTCCCACATAAATACAATGTACACAAACATTATGTATTAATTGCATGTGGTGTGATGAAATTAATAAACTTGTCCAAACTTTTCATTAAAATAGCATGAGTCTTATAATTTTGTTGATATAGGTAGCGGTACGTAAAACAGATTTGGATATATTGAACAAGTGACAAATCACAAAAATCATGCATAAGAGGACCAAGATGGCATTAACAAGGTTTGAGAAAATAAAACGAAATGTGTGTTAGTCTTCCATTTTATTGAGATCATCACGCGAATCCAATTCAATTGTTTACTTTCATTTTCTCGCCTGCATGAAGCCGGAATCGCTAGTAATCGTCGATCAGCCATATGACGGTCAAAGGTTTCTGTTAATACTTCATATATTGTAGAGTGAAGTTATAACCTAAATTTTAAAATTACTGTATGCTATATATATAGTCCATCACTAAATGCACTCTAGTTTTTTTGGTCGGAAAATGCACTCTAGTTGATTGGGTTTGCTATTATTAATTTAACTTTTTAATAGCCAAGTTCATAATTAAGGAGGTGATTAATTAACTGACTATAGCTATCTTGACCCTTGAGGGCCTTGTGGACCAATATTGATAAATAAAATGTTGCAAGTGTTTATCGGGGAGTTTTGTGCTGATGAAAGTGCTGATTAGACTTGGATATACCTCTCCATCCTGAGGCTTTTGCCATCATATTCAAATACTCACTTAGGATTTATTTGGGAACTAATTAGGTAGTCCAATGTGAACTTCTCTTCTCATGATGTAAACTCATTTGTTGACATCACAATTCTCTTCCCTTTTTTTTTCTCTCAGTAAGCATAATGCCATCAAATTTTAAGCTTTGTTTAAGCTTTGCGAATAATGATACTAAAAACATAAATAATTTCAAGCTTTATCATGTGTAATACTGGAGTTACGCATAATCCAACGAGAGCTGCACCAGTACAACCCCTTTTCCATGTTTTGAGTAACTTAAGCAACCATCAGTAGAAATTCAAATTACTTAGATGGTATGTTATCAGCCTCCAATACATAATTAAGTCCGAATATACAAAATCCTCTTAATTTTTTTCTATTTCTGATCATTCTTCAACTTAAGTCTTGTCTTTTTCACTTACAAATGATAAACGACTTGAGGTTTTCTTGCTTAAGAAAAACTCGAAGTAATAGATCTATTTTATCCACTATATTTGAACACATGTATCTGATTTAATTTGATGATTAAAAGGGGGTCTAAGTTGAAAGGGGAAGAATGAGAGAGTCTTGATGATCCCTAAAAAAAGATAATATGAGACTTTTATTTCAAGTGAGTTCATCATCTCGATGACTCCTACTACTAGAGTTTCGGAATATTTATTAAACTTATGCCTAACATAATAGAGTCCATTAAAAATTGAAATAAGCAAACAATAGGTAACATTTTGTCCACCATGACACAGTTCCCATGAGGCTCTTTTCTCTTCCATCTTCTTGATCACTTAGATCACTCAATATCGCTTCCATCTCCCTAAGTACAAAATACAGAAAATGCATTATAAAGAAAAATGATGCGTCGGATTCTCAACGTGTAAAGGTAGGATCATATGAGTCATTATTCCATAAGCAAAAGAACGCTATTAATGATTACCCATTTAAAAATACAGAGCAAACAAACATGCATAGTCGAGAAAAGAAACTAAAGAAAGGGAAAGGGCTCGCTTAATTAGTGGGCCAACGTAACCTATAAGTATAACCTAATACTGTAATGTTGTAATCATAATAATAGTTTTATGTACGTGCTAATTGAGATTAGTTATTGATTGTGCACAAGACAATCAAGGGCAACTGCAATGAAGTGGTCGGTCGATTCCAACCATCTCTTTACTTTCCTGATGATGATCAATCATAGTGGTCGGCCTGTCTTCCTCTGAATTTGTCTAATCAAGGTCTCGATTAATCTTAATCACCCCCACCAAAGAGCAGTTTGTGTGTTTATATATAATTAATAAGTTCTGTCACCACCCAAGCTGAATGGATCGACAACTCTACTAATTACAGGTTTCCTCCGCACCCTAATTGAGACTTGAGAGGGCCGGTGTGAGCAATGAATGTAATTAAACAGCCAATCAGTTATAAGTGGATCTATGGAGTCTAAGTTGATGGCACGATAGAGGTAGTGCACGGTCAAGCTCCGGCAACCACACATATGTAAAAAAAATCACAACTACGAAAGTAAAACAACACATCGATTTTTATGTGGTATTCTTATTCAGGGTGAACTACGTACAAGAATATAAACAAAACGAGTTTATGAACTCTCTTATTAAACTCTGTCGACTATCTTAACTCCCAATTACAACGGTATGCGACTATATAGTACATATACACATAACCATTTACAAAGCAATTGAATCCTAAAAAAAAAATAAACAACATTGAGTTAATACAAACAAAATTGTATATTAGTGCAATATTCTACGTGGTAATGTCTAAATATTTCCAATATATATCACACTATACACGCGAAGGAGAAAATTAAAATATTTTAATATCATTAATATTATTGAAGGAGATGGTATTGACCAATATGATCTGTTTTATTATTAGGTATTATTGCGTCAAAAAAATATTAGGTATTATATATATAATTGTTTAATCATCATGAGGATGGCGCTATATAGAAACAGAATAAGATATAGAGGGGGGGGGGGGGGGGGACCTGATTGGTGGAGAAGTGTAAGAGAGTGGATTAATTTGGATTATAACACGTTGTATGTGTGCTTTTATATACACCTTTATCCTTCATTTTTTCTTTATAATTTTGGTATTATTACGTATATTGTATTAATTAAAATTGTCAATTCGTCATCATATATCAATCAGATAATGTATTTGACTATTTGTAGTTTATCAGCTAAGTAGAGATTTTAGAGTCCCCATCCTCACCATGTTAAACACATTCCGTTTCATTGAATTATTTGAACTGTTTTTTTTTTTTGGATTCCTTCATATGTATATATATAAGAAACCCCTTGTTAATTTGTAACAACTTGGGTGTATGAATTCAATGGAAAGAAATTTAGGCATATAATTAGCATCAACTCTCGTATAATTCTTAATACTCGAGATCACAAGTTGTTAAATATGATCGATCAGTGCCGCAAGCATAGAAATTAAATGTGAATTCGAACCTTGTAAGCAGAGTTCTTAATTAAAAGACATTACTGAGCTGGGTTTACTTGATCCAAGGCAAGGAGCTAGCTAGCTAGCCTATGGAAGAAGAAACTCCATTGGCTGGGCTGGGCAACTCGAAATGCAAAGCCACCCAGATCATGCATCATGGCTTGCTAAGCAGTAAAACGAGGCCGGGCCCGGTTCATGGGCCCGCGAACTAAAGGCCTTGCTTGTGAGTGTTGGGTTGCTCTGGAATCTGGACCATGACCGCCGCTTGGTCCAAACTGTAAGGAGTTTCTTGAATTGTAGTTCAGTCATGTAGTGGGCCTTCGTATTGCTGCCTATTCGGTTTGTTTAGTTGCCTACTCTAACGAGTTGTGGCCCTCAGTCTCCAATTCCTTTTCTTAGCAAAAGCCCAACAAAGTTGTGAGGATTGGGGACTTGTGCATGTATATGGAGAGAAAGAGAGTAATTCTGGCCCGAGGGTTTGGGTTATGGATTGGTCCAAAATCCAAATCCAACCCTAACGGGAATTGCACAAATCCTGTGAGATGCATAAAAATGTGGGTAACACATTTGTGAGGTCACATATTTTGGACTTTTTTTTTAACCAAATTCGAAGACATCATGCGTTTGGAAATCTCATATAATTTGGTGAGATTTGAGATAATGAACCACATTCTCGATGCCAAATGAACCTATCCTTTTAACATCCAAAAAACAATTTTTTTAAAGTCACAAATGAACCAAATTCATCACCAATTTTTCAGTTTTTAAATCACGAAATTTGAAAAACCCCCTTCATTTTTCAAATCATGATATGCTTATATACAACAAACTGAGTATAAAACAAAATTGTTATACACATAAACTTCAAACCAACTATTATTACCAAAAAAAAAAAAGGAAAATGAATAAGTATGTGGTAGTAGGGTGTCTTATTTCTTGTCCTCTTTCTTAAGCTTGCCATCCTTCTTCTCTTCCTTTGCTGGGCCAACGGTGAGGATGTCAACTTTGCCTAATTTCTTGGTGAGTTTCTTGGCAACTGCAAAAGTGTCCATCTCTCCAATCACTGTCAGCTTCTGCTCTCTTGTGTCTGCTTCTATTGAATCAACTCCTGCATTGCAATTGCATGCCCGTGTTTTATAATCCCCACCACAACACAAACCCAATTTTCAAATTTCATGGCTAAGGCCTAAGGGAATAAAATCCAAAAAACCCCCACAATTTTCTTATATAGCTGAGTTCGAGTTAAATCGGAAAAAATACAAGTCGATTATAAAATGGAAATTAAAAGTCTTTTAATCTAAACAATCGTATTTGTATACACTTAAAATTAAGAGATCAAATCTACTTATGCCCAAAGGGAAAGGGAGATGAGGAAGGAGCATATCAAGTTTAAAGTAGTGTGTACCAAAAATGTCAGCAACAGCCTCTATGGCTTTCTGCTTGGTCTTCTCATCATTCATGGTCATAATCTTCAATACCACCTTCTGCATGTGCATCCCACCATCGATGAGGCTCCAAAAAGACATCAACATCTCCAAAAACAAACATGATAGAAGTGGGCAAAACAAATACTCATCGAAACTAGATACCTGTGCCATCTATTTACGCTAATAAAGAGAGAAGTTGAGATGGAAACTAAACCTGCAAAATAACAACTACTCATGAGTCATATGTGAGGGCGGCTTTCATATATATGGATGTTTATCATATTTATAGGCAGAGTCATGACTACCAATTTCAAGTCGCAATCAAGGCATTGTTTCCCACTACTATAAAGCAAAGGAAGAGAGCTAGCAAGCAAGCATTATGGACTCCTCTCACTATCACCTTCATTTTAAAAACAACATTAATGAAAACAATAGAGATTTCCCACTTCTCCAAACTCCAAAGTCACATACAGTACCTCCCGTCGCCAGTATGCTGATACAAGCTAAACCCGTCTGCATCTTCAATTTGCTTTCTACACGATTTGCTTTCCCGATTACTGATCGATGACTTGTTCCAATAATGGGTTCCCCAAAAAAAAGTTGATTTCCCGTACAAGTTAACTTGCTCCAAAAGTTTCATAAGTGCCACGTACGTAGCCATCAAGGTGATGGTAGATTAGCATCAAAACTATCAACAACGACCCTATATAGATATATAGATATAATTGTGGCTGATGCGTAATTGCTCTAAAGCCTGATACTAGACTTTTCACGTATAAGAAGCAAACTTTTGGCAATGAAAATGGTTGCTAGATACACGTATGTGAGTGAACGGTGACTTAACTGGATAAGCGAAACTACAACAATAAAAATATATTTGTAGATTTGTGTAGCGCATTTTGATTTACATGCTAATGAAAAGGGACGTGTGAAAGAAGCAGGAGAGCTCTTTTTGAATTCAAGCTTAAAATTTACATATTAAAAACCAACGATATTATTACTAGACTTATCTCTCATTGAAGAATTCACAAAATACCTAACCGAATTACTTGCATATTAATTTGTAGACACTCCAAATATTTTTAATGTATAATTGTAGAGTACTAGGTGAGACAACTACTCTCTCTTGTGTTGCTTTACTTGTCCTTGAAGTGACCCCCACCAATTCTTGAGAGAGTCTATGAATAATTGCAGAATTGCTTTGCCCTTTGGAGCACTCAAACAAAACATGTGTGTAATTTGTCTACGAATGACTGTAGGGTTTTGTTGGGTTTCTCCCTTTCATGTGAGCAATGGACCCAACCAGCATTACATGGAATTCCAAATCCTAATGAAATGAAACCCACTTCACATAAGAGTCCAAGAAACTTAAATGCCTAATCGAATCAAGTTTGTCTACCCTTTAAAATCTAGCTATTCCCACTTCCCCAGAGGACCCTCTCTTTTTCTAATTTGGAAGCAAGCTCTCTATATCGTTTTAATTAATCAATTATCAAGTGGTGATATTAATTAATCGAACGTTTAAGGGGATAAAAGAAGCTTCTTTCTAATCCTCTTTTTTCTCCCTTGAATGAGAAGACTCGACTCGAGGGTCAAGTCAAGACCCGGAATTCTATAATACCAGAACCATTGAAGTCGGGTTTTGTTCTTTAGGATGAAACCCAAGGTTGCTTCTTTATTAATTAAAAAAGGTTGTTTCATTATTTGTAGAATACGAAGCTAATTAATATGTGTTAACTTATGTTTGATTTTCCATTTTATTGAGTTTGCTAATATAATTTAATTCAGAGCTCTGTATGTAAAGATTTGGTTTAATGGTACTACTATTGATTCTTAACCGGGAGGTCGCATATTCGAATTTATCAGATAGTACCTAACAATAAGCGAAGTTTGTGGATGCACCTCTTAATTGGCATCCAGTACCTGTCGCATGGCTACAACCAGTACAGAGCAGGGTGAAAATGGCTGGTTCTAATAATCCAGAGAGCACAAATGAGTTAATTACCTGCAAATACGAATTTTTCTAAAATTCATCTCTCGAGCAAGCCAGAAATCATGCAAACAAGGCTTGGTCTAGTGGTAATATCACTGATATTGAACCTGGAGGTTACAGGTTCGAATCATTTGAGTAGCACCTAACAAAAACAGTAAACCGATATTACCCTTATAAAAGAACAAAACAATAATTGTAAACATACGAACGTTTTCCCGACAAGTTATTCTTCGTTCCCGATTCGAAATGTTGCAAAAACCATGCAAAAGTTTCATCACTTTACCTAGTGTAGTTATGCCCCTCATGAGTAAAAAGAAAAAAACAAGAAACTACTCTCGTGATAATAACGCGACCAAAAATCATCAATAGACAACAGTAGCCATGATTGAGACCTCCCAATGAAATCAACTTCGTTCATTCTATCTCATACAACCCCAACCATGTATTCTAATTTCCTAACCAGGCGAATGATACACCCACTTGAAATTATTGATCTTGATAGCGAATTGTTGCACTGATCTCAACAACTTGATGATGGCTTAGGCTATTCCAACTCAAGACAAAGAAATAAAGGGTTAATGGCTTGATGCCCTATAGGCTATACAGATGACGGGCTAAGCCAGCTGTTGACTCCATTGGAAAAGCACCAAACTTTCCACTCAAAAAATCCAGCATCATACTTCCACCCTTTCCGGACTTCACCCATACCAAAACCATCGAACCCCACAAAACCAGAAGGGAAAAAGAACTTTCCCCATTTTAGATCTCCAAAAATGGTGCCGGGTAGGAATTCCATGGAGATAATAATAGCCAAGTTTAGCCATTGGTGGCCGCCATTGAAGAAGGGTACTCCTGCAACTCTCAGAGCCATCTTCTTCTTCCTCGTCCTCTTCCTTGCTGCCTACATCTCTTCCTTGTGCCTCGACACTGTAAGATGATTCCCCACTTTCTTTTGTCCTTTTTGTCTGCAAAATAACTTGAGAATCTTCATGAAAATTTACCCTCTGTTTTTTTCTTCCCCTGCAGTCGGCATTTCTGTCCATAAAAAACGAACCTGTTCCCACTAACGTTGAAGTAGTCTTGGTTCGACCCGAGAATCTGACCAAATTGGAAGAACCCAGAACTCCATTACCGGCAAAGCTTCAAACTTTACCTGAAAGGGTACTCGAATTTCCGGCCATCGACTGCTCTGGTGCCGACGAGAGAAAGAACCAAACTCGAACCTGTCCTGACCGGGGAAAGGAACCCACGTGGGAACCCGCCCGCGGAAGCAGGGGAGAATGTCCGAGCTACTTCCGGTGGATTCACGAGGACCTGAAGCCGTGGAAGGCGTCAGGGATCACGAGGGAGATGGTGGAAGGAGGCAGGGGAAGTGCCAATTTCCGGCTGGTGATAAAAAAGGGTAGAGTCTATGTGGAGAAGTTCAGGAAATCAATACAGAGCAGAGACAAGTTCACGATTTGGGGGATTCTGCAGCTTCTTAGGAAGTACCCAGGAAAGATTCCTGATTTGGAGCTCATGTTCGACTGTGAGGACAAGCCGGTGATCCGACCGGAGAAATACTCTGCCGAGGCGGCGGCGCTGCCGCCGTTGTTTCGGTACTGCGGTGACAGGCGGACAGTCGACGTGGTGTTTCCTGATTGGTCATTTTGGGGATGGTATTAACATATTTCTTTTCCCCCAACAAATATTTGATGCTCTGTCTTAGGTCCTCTGTTTTTTCTGAGTCTGATTTTGTCAAGAATGTTGCAGGGCAGAGATAAACATAAGGCCGTGGGATAAGTTGCAGAAAGAGATGAAGGAAGGGAACAAGATCATCAAATGGGAAGAGAGGGAGCCTTATGCTTACTGGAAAGGGAACCCTTTTGTTGCTGACACTAGGAAGGATCTGCTGACCTGCAATGTCTCCGATAGACATGATTGGGGTGCTCGCATCTTCATCCAGGTAAATCTTTTGATTTTTCCCTTCTATGATCTACGTGATAAATGTTATTGTTTGGATGAGTGATCTAACAAGAGATTTGAGAGATTGAGAGATTCTTAACTCATTGATTCTTATTTAACGAAAAGGGAATGCATTCAAGTTCATCGCGATTAAATATGCAAATTATGTGTAAGATTCCTTCTAATGGTTCCTAACGCAAGACTTTGATGTTCGTAATCAACTAATGGATCATAGAGTCATCATTGTTGGCTGAATTTGGAAGATTTAATGATTATGTGAAAGCCAATAGGATTGATCCATGTGGATCTAGTGTTGCTAAAATGTGATCATATAGTAACAATGGATCACCTTATTTATAGTGTAGTATTGGGGATGAAATTAAGGTACATATTACATACATAAATATTCAGAATTTGAGACTCTATGTGCCATTATTTTGAATGGAGTGTTTTTTTCTTCTTCCAGGATTGGTTCAAGGAATCCCAACAAGGGTTCAAGGAATCAAGTTTAGCAAAACAATGCAAACACAGATACAAAATCTACATTGAAGGGTATGCATGGTCTGTGAGCGAGAAGTACATTTTAGCGTGTGACTCGATCACTTTCATGGTAAAACCTTACTACTACGATTTCTTTACAAGAAGCCTGGAGCCTCTCGTCCACTATTGGCCCATAAACGACAGAGACAAATGTAGGTCCATTGAGTATGGAGTCCAATGGGGGAACCAAAACCCTGAGAAGGCACAAGCAATCGGAAGAGCTGCCAGCGAGCTCATCCAAGAAAAAGTCAGCATGGATTACGTCTATGACTATATGTTCCACCTGTTGAATGAGTACGGTAAGCTCCTCCGTTTCGAGCCACAGGTTCCCGCCGCGTCCGTGGAGGTTTGCTCGGAGGGCATGGCTTGTTCGGGTGGAGGTGAGGATGTTCTGGGGCTTGGGTTGGAGAGGAAGTTTATGTTGGAGTCATTGGTGAAGAGTCCTTCTTTGTCAAGGCCATGTGAGATAGGGCATCCTTTCGAGTCACAAGAGTTGGAGAAATACTATAAGAGAAATCTAAACACAATTAGGAGAGTTCAGAAGTGGGAGAGCCAGTACTGGCAAGATTTTGAAAAGCAAGGGTAGTCATTAGTGTAGTGATTCTTTCTTGTACCTTAAATCTTTACTTGACACTTATGAATTCATTCCTCTTGGGAGACATAAGAAGTGAAAATTGTGCACAGTACAGACACATTGAATAACATAAGTCAATTGTTCTCGAGCAACTTAATACTTAGATTCTAGGGCTAATACCACTAGGAAACCCGAACTATTAACTTTGTGTCATTTGTGTCCTAAAATATTCGATACAACATTTGTGTCCTAAACTATTTCACCGTTAGAGTTGACCGGCGTTGACCGTTAGTTTTTAAGAGAAAATCCAGTAAGCGCTGATGTGGCATCTGAAGTGGATTTTATAATATTAATTTATAATTATTTTTCATATAAAAAAATAAAAAAATTACAAAAATCCACTAGGAAACCCTTCCTCTTCTCCTTCTTCCTCCTCGACAGATCCGCCACCAGAAGCGTCTGATTTTGGGACTTTGTCGACTTACTCGCACCATCACCGCAGCAATGGAGGAGGCCGTCGCGAACTCGTCATCTTCCGCCGCGACTTCGATGTGCTAGAGCAATATCTTGAAGAGCCAGCCACCGGCGCCGTCACCAAAGCCACAGAGCTCTACGAGCGCGACCCAGATGTTCGACGAGAGCTGCAAGTCGAGCAAAGGGACAAGGGGGTGACGTGGCTGAGCACGAGCGCCGGGAAGTCGAGGATGCTCGGGGAGAGGATCTCGGGCTTCCGGTGCGAGAATCCGGATCCGTGTCCGGGCGGGGCGAGGAACTGGTTGAGCGGGGTTGATCTTGAGATTCTTCAAGGAGTTCCGCCGCTCGTAGAGCTTGAACCCGGAGGGCTGGTTCCTCTTGGGGATCGATTTGATCGGCGGGATGGTGTGGGAATGGGATTTCACCTGGTGGTGGTGGTGGTGGTCGGGTTGTTGGTTGGGCGGGACGAAGGTCGTCGGGTACGGTTTAGCCGATTCGGATCTGGCTATTGGATTTGGTCGGGGAGACGACATCTGTTGCTGCTGTGGCGGAGGAGGCGTCGGCGGTGGCTGGGCAGCCGCCCCCGCTCTGTGCTGGTGGAGGTCGTTGGAGGAAGGGCTGCTGTTGTTGCTACTGCTGCTGCTGTTCGGAGAAGGAAGGAGGGAGTGCGGCGACTGGGCGTAATTCCGGTGGTCTAGGTGAAATCTCGGCGAGGATTTCTCGGTGCTGACAATTTTTAGAAACAATATTAATTAATTAAGTTTACATTTTTTTTAATTTTTATAACAATATATTATTTTTAATTTAATTTTTAATTAAAAATATGAGGTGTCATTGACGTGGCATCTACTTGGCTGCCACGTCAACAAAAGTCAATGTTAATGTTGACTTCCGTTTGGTCAACCGTTATATATAACGGTCAACAAAATCGTCAGGACATAAATGACACAAAACTATAATAGGTTGGGACACAAATGTCGTATCGAATACTTTAGGTCACAAATGACACAAAGTTAATAGTTCGGGTTTTCCAGTGGTATCAGCCCTAGATTCTATTGCTAATTTCTATGAAATAAAGCCATATTTTAATTTATTTGTACTAATTAGTTTGATGTTATTCAAATCAGCTAAAAACAAATAAAAGGGCCTACCTTTTAATCTATTATTACTATATTAGTTTAATCATTAATGTTGTTCAAATGAGCTCGTAATAAATGAAAGCCATATCACCTCCCAAGAAAACTCATTGAAAATGAAAACAAAGGGGTAAAAACCAAGAAAGTATGTGAGAACTGAGAAGTGAGAAGAAGAATATACTACAATTAGGGGTGGGCATTCGGTCGGTTCGGTTCAAACCGAACCGAACTAATAAATATCGGGTCCCCGAAATAGCTCATGGAGTCAACCGAATTCGAACCGAAATATATCTCGGTTTGGTTTATCCGAACCGAAATATATCTCGGTTCGGCTCAGTTTTGAGGCCAAACCCGAAATTTCAGAATTAAGTCTCTCGGACTCTCTCCCCACCAACCCTCTCCCCATTTACCATTTACGCAGACCCTCTCTCTCTCTCTCTCTCTCTCTCTCTCTCCCCCCCTCAAAGCCCAACACACAGTCGCATATGCAGTCCGGCAGTCGTGATTTCTTCCCATCTCTGGACTCGGCAGTTGCGAGAGGGAACTCAAGGGCACCCGGCGATGGAGATTGACGGAGAGAACCACACAGCGGCAGACGGCGACGGCGACAACGATGGCCTCGAGCAGATCTTGATTTGGGGGCGAAGGTATCGAATCTGGCAGATCTTGAAAGAGCTCGAGGATTTATACTTCTCCACCCATTCCGCCAAGCCTTCTCCTTCTTCGTCATCTATAATAGATGATCTATTGTTGCAATCGCCGGTGGGGTCGTCGAGGGACCGCCGTCGTTCTGCTCTTTCATCGCCGAGAGATCGCCGCCAAGGTTCACCCCTCCAGTGTTGATTGTTGTGAGGTTTGGGTGGGCTAGGGTTTGACTAGAGAAATGGGTAAAAGATGTAGCAGGTTTGGGCTTGTGTGAGCTTGGGGTTGTAGGCTTAGGATTTGGGTAAGTTCGATTGGTCGGTTCGGAAATCGAATTTCGATTTCGGTTGGGCAGACCCTGGCTCCCGAAGTATTGGTTTTTGCCTTCCGAATTTCGAACCGAACAAGGAAAGTTCGGTTTCGGTTCGGTCTGGTTCGGTTTCGGTCCGGTTTGGGTTTACCGAACCGGATGCCCACCCCTAACTACAATGGAAGAAGGAAAAAAGAAAATAGTGGATCCCAATAGCATTGGCCCAATATTCAGACCAGTCCAGTAAAGAACGTTGGCGGAGGTAGGGGGCTTTACATGAACTAAAGGCTTGTGGGTCAAAAGCCCAAGTAAAAATAAAACCCACCAGAATCGTAGTCCCATCTTAGCCCTAAGCTTTGTATTCAGCTACCCTCTATAGTCTATATTCTATACAGCTATTATGGGGATTTTTATACTTTCATTTTTTTTTTTTTTTGCTTCTGGGATTTTTATACTTTCATATAACATTGATACATTTATTGAATTAGATCGATTTGTAGTTAAATAAATAAAGATACCATATAAAAAAGGATTCTAATTTCTAAAGTCTAAATTATATCCTACACACTGGTAGTGGAACTACACTCCCTCTAAATTCTAATGGTGTCATGAAATTGTCAAACTGAAGGGGTAAAAATGGAAGTTTATTGTAATGAGATTCAATCTCTATTAATGTCTTTATCATGGTTCGTTGGATTTTATAGTATGCATATGATAGCTTTTGTTTGGGAGGGTGTAATAAGGTTGTGGGATTTCTTTTTACGTACTTTGTTTTTTCCTGATTTTTTTTTTATATACGCGTGACTCATTTTACATTTTTGTGTTTGTTTCTTCTGTCGGACTTTGCTTACTCGGTGTAAATAATTGTACATTGTTTAACATAAGAATTTCATATCGTCAAGCAACTGAGTACTTATCATAAATTCATTCAAACTTTTCATTAAATCGATCTTGTTGATGGATGCTAGATTCATACCTTAGTTAACATGATGGAAAAAAAAAAAAGTGGCAGAAATATATACTTACGAGCCAATGAATTGCATGGAACATGCACATATGATATGATTGTTTGGGACCAAATGGAAATTGGCCATAAATGACGCCGGCCGGCCATATGCTCCACCACCACCACTACAGCGAAAGGTACTAACCATGTTTTCATGTTCTCTGTGTTCCATTCCATGCATGCCTTCTCCTTTCCCTTTTGCCTTTTGGTAACCCATCGCCGACTTTTCTAAGCTGATTATTACGGCCACATTTTCCGGCCAAAGAAGGCCCCGACAAATGCTGTCAGCAGCTGTCCTACAATGATATTAGAAATGTGTGCAGATCGAGCAGCATCTATTGCAATCATCTCCCAAAGTTTTTATAATTAAGATTGCGATGATGCCTTTGCCTTTGGCTACCAACCTGTTTGCTCCTTCGCTTGGGGACCATGTTTATGTATATATGTGCCTTCCGTTTTGTTATACGTATAATATTGATTTGTCCCTACAAGTACGATTGCATCAAACTTACAACGTGCGGGGTATATTGTCATCATGTATTTGTTCAACTTCCATTGCAAAAAAAAAATGACAAGGTTTAAAAGAGATCTATATGTGTTTTTTCTTGAATCCACCATGCTAGCTAAAGTTTCTCTGTCAAAATTTTCAGTCACTATATAATATCTACAGGCTACAGGTGACAGATAAATCATAATGACGTGTGATTAACGATATCTCTTATGAGCGCCTGATTGGTATACTTCAAAACGACAACCACTTGCATATCAAGTATTTCATTTAAGGTGGATTCGATGTGTTTAATAAATATATAATAAGACAATTCCAGTTATAATTTTGTAATGAATTAAATGTCCCAAGATGTGACTTCATATTATACAAAAATATTTATAGACTATGTTATATGAAATTGACAAGAAATCTATCTCAGAATTTAGTTGTAATCTGATGATAAGAGCATTGACTAATATTGATGATAAGAATTAGGATTGGAATCCGACACTGTCCAAAACCAACATCAGGCTTATATATCAGCAGGGCCACACCCAGGATAAGTAGAATCCGACAAGTTAGAGTTTCTCACTCACTCACTCACTCTGTTATATTAAAATGAAATGAAATTGTTGGTTGTGAAAATTTTAACGGATTGTTGAAATGAGAAATTTAACGGAATAATTAGATTTAATTGTCTTATTTTGAAACAATTTGATCAAATTGACTCGTTTGTCAGTAGAAAATTTAGATGAATTAATTTGTTTGTGAAATTTCGTGTTGATTCGTTTTGAGTCAATTCCAATTGTTTTGATAGGGAGCATTCGATTCGAATTTACTCATTAGAATTAACTCATTTTATAAATTAAGACAATTGACCAAATTAAATTATAGCTTATTTTAATTAATTTATCCAAACCAAATATGAGCTTTTCCCCATTTTTCTTTTGCAGTTGTCATCTTGTTGATGGAGGAACTTGGGTAGCACCACTTTGATGGGTCTTTTTCCTTCTCCTGCCGTCCCAAAAAAAAAATCAAGTTGAAAACTTGTATTACGGGACTTATATCTATATGTAAAGTAAACAAAACAAGC